TTTTGGAAAAAGTCAACTGAACAAATGTTTTGAAACTCTTTGTTTTTTTTAATTATTTTACATGCAGAACATCATCATTTTAAGTACTTAACATTTAATTGATGGTTTTTATCGTGCACCTTCATGTGTATCGCTTTTGTTGTGTAACTTTCGTTCTCCCTCTTTAAGTTGGAGGTTGTATATTTTAATGTCAAAGATGTCTTGCATGTAGCATTATTGAAAACATAAAAATGATTCACAAGTTATAAGTGGTTGTCAGAGCTCATAAAAAGAGGTTGATGAAACTTGAACTGAAATAACACTATTACAAATCTTCACATGTCCTGACCTCTTATTTCACTTTAATAGGATCATTGTGAGAGGAAAGGGGTTTGGCAGCAATTAACAAGTTAAAGCAAAACACTGGAAGCTGTAATTAATGAAAAAAAACAAGTCATGTTTGACCTCTTGTGGTGAGAGTATTCATCTTTCCGTCTGCATGTTTAGGGCTCTGAGGTTAATGAACAACTCACTCTGATGTTTTATTTTTACTTTGACCCCGGGGAAGGTGAGCTGCAGGAGGATTTCCCTGCATTCCTCAGGTCCTAACACCTCTATGAAAGACTTACATAGCTGCTTCATCAGGATTTGTCTTTGTTCACATCTCCTGCAGGCTCTGCTGCAGCTCAGTGTGTACTGTGGAGATTTCTTCTTTCTTGGATTGTTAACCGTCTAACTTAGTTAAACACTGCCTGTTCGTCAAGTTAGATAGAATACACAGTCTGATTCTAAAGTGTACTAATGTTAAAATATGTGATTCATGGGGCGCTGTGGGCTAGTGGTTGTGTGGTGCGCCCCCCATGTGCAGAGGTTATGGTGCTTCCTGTCTCCCTGCAGCTGTCAGATCTAATGAAGAAAAAAATGGCCCAAAAAATTCTTTAAAAAAATATGTGATTCAATCTGATGCAATCCAATAAAACATCTCTTTTTCTAAGATTTATTAAAGGGGCTTTTTCTGTCTTTATTTTAGAAGCAGGACAGACAGATTCTGTCTGTGGCTGCTTCAAAGACACTTAACAATTTCAAACTGGACTTACAACTATACACGGATTGATGATTGCTCTTCTCATCCTTTTTTGAATTGTTTGCATTTTTCAATGTAGCAAACGATGCAGTTAGAAAATTAGGCGCAACTAGCGACGCGAAAAACATCTGTTGATGTTCTGGAGTCGCTGAAGTCTTTTATCAAGACGGCTCAGGAAAGAAGGTGCATGTTCATTCTCCTGAAACATGACCTGCTCATCCACCCAAGAAGACGCCTGTGGTCTTTAACACATGTTCAGCAATGATGGAGAGAGAGTGCCTTATAGGTTTTTTGTTTTTTTTACAATGCATTGCTGTTGACATTTCTTGTCTGGATTACCTGGAGTATAACATTTGTGAGTTTTGAGACACTTCCATTGGAACTTTGTGGATTCAACAGGATGGTTTTCCATGATCACGATCTGAACCGCAACTAAAGGAGGACACTATTTCATTTATTTTTTTGTGTTCATTGTATCATCATCACAGAATGCTGCAGCTACACTCACGCTTGCTGTGCGTGTGTTTCTCTCCATCAGCTGCTCATGAAGAGCCAGAGGTGTGTGTATTCATTCTGCTCTCCTCCAGGAGCTCATTTGCTTTCCGTTCACCTCATATTTGCTTCAATAACAATTAGATCACTGCCAACATATTTGTGTTTGAGAGCAATCCCGACGTGAAGCATTTGAACCACTTCCAGTTTTCTTTCTGAAAGGCTGAGTATCGGTCCTTCGGTCTCCCACAGCGCTCAGAAACAACGCCAATACTCCGCTGAGCAATTTGTTTTCTATTTACAAGTCCACCTGCGTCTCAGCACAGGTCACCTGTGCCGCTGTCTATTCATCACATCCTCGTCTGACCTTTGAATAAATGCCTCCAAATTGACTTTGCCGTTGGTTTCACAGTGGAGAGTGGGAAGCAGCCATTTGTGCTCCTCGACTCTGAGTCTATTTCTGCTCTGACAAATGGATCAGGAGAAGTGTGTGACAGTCGGGTCTCATCGGTTTAACTTTTTTTTGGATCTGTTTAGGGAGAGCGTTTTCACCTGTCAGCTGCGTTTTTACAGTCGTGAAAATGTATTTTCACACCCACGGCTGCTGTGCCATTTAAAACCACTATTATTACTCAGAGGTCAGAGGTCAGGACAAAGCTGAGGCAGAGAGATAGGTTTTCTTGTACTTGAGAACAGACAACAAGTAAAACAGTTTTATCTGGAGACTTTCTACAAGTCTCTTAATGTGGTGTGTTGCATCAGAGGCATCATAAGAATCTGAGGGTTGCAGATGTTCAACAGATGTTGCAAAATCTCCAAATGCTTTTGAAAACTGGATCATCTGCATCTATTCCTTTTTTCCACTTTTATTCTTTATATAACGGGACAATGCTTTACTTTGTCCCTTACATAAATCATTTACTTGAGGCCTTCTTATAATCCTTGTTTCATCCATGATGTTTTATTTGTTTATTTGCTAACAGCTATGCTAACAGGCTCTATGGAGAAAGTTGATAATGGCGAAAAAATATGAATATAGCGGCGAGACGGCTGCTGCAGACAGGCCGCGCTTGTATCTTGGCTGCCGCTGACTGCCTTTTTCCGCTGGCCGCCGCGACATAAGACCGGCCTGTCAGCAGCAACCGTCTCGCGGCTATATTCCTATATTGCCGCCGCCGGCCGCTGCCAGCTCAGCAGCTGAGACATAATGCCTGCCTGCCGGCGGCGGTGAGGACGAGGAGCCGGGGCCGGCTTGAGCTGGGGCGGACTGGTAGTGTTGGTGCTCTCACTGTTTGCCTGTGAACACAGACATAGAGTCTGTTTTCTGACAGGAATTTCCAAGATCAATTCTGGAAGAAATCTCTGAATCAGTTGAGGAAATGGTCTCATGTGTTGAAGTAAATATGTCTGTAAATGTTGTTATTACTATATTTCTACTGCTATACTGTATATTTTGGAGAAACTGTAATGATCGAATTTCCCTCTGGGATTAATAAAGTATTTCTGATTCTGAACTAGAGGACCTTAGTGGGAGTGGCCTGCGGGGCTGTGCATTCTGGGATTTGGTGTCTTTCATCCACATGAGCCAAAAATACACTTTCTGCCTTTTCTCGGCCAAGAAGGCACCAACTTCAAAATGTAGTTCACATTTCTACTACATAAATCACCCAATGTCAATACAGATTCATGTTTCAATGGGTGAAGTATCCCTTTAAGAATGAGGTACTGTAATAAAAAAATAAAAAAAGAACAAGATGTCAAAAAAAGAAGTAAACTAAACTTGAGGAGGGGCCCCCCTGAGTGCTGACTAACTTTAAACCAGAGCAGTGACTCAAAATGTGCACATTTTGCAATGACAGTAGGAAACCTCCCTAAGAGAGCCCCATCTGACAGCGACAATGAATCTATCTGTCCGAGAGTGAAAAAAGGAAGAGGGAGAGGAGTAAGCATTGGGACGCTGGCAGACACGACGGTGATGAACACAGGTTTGAGGGGCCCCCAATACATTTTTGCCTTGGGAACCCTCCTTCCAGACTCTAGTATCCCCACTGGCTCATATATACTCCACATCTGAAACAGATACGGACTGAGCCATCTGTTCGTACTCTGAAAGCTTACAGATGAGGACCAAATGTTTGCAACACCCCCGGAAATGGTGGAGGCAGCGTCCAGCAGTGTAGCCAACATTTCCAGCTAGATCAGCAAAACACAACTAAGACAATACTTTTAAAGGGTGTACCATTAAGGGAAGACTGTGTGAGTTGGTTTCGGAGTGATGTGTATATGTTAACATGGGGCTCTATTGACTCACTTTTGGAGACAGTCTCAGCTGGACGCTCAAGGAAACTGCAGTTTGTTGATGCATCAGTGAGTTCCTCACTGTGCAGGCAAGTATCTGCTTGTTTTGGTCCGACAAACATAGACTGCAGCGATCATTTCCCCTAAAATGGTAAACTACTACCTTGAAGTATTTTATGACAGGTGAAAGGTTTGTAATTGCTGCTTCTCTGTGATAAGATAAATGGGAGATGAGCTGCTTTATAGAGTGGGTGGAGAGGAATGTTGTTATGCTGTGTGTTAAAGGTTTCTGAGCTAATCCAAAACTCAAAAGGTTGTCCTGTATGGCCCTGTGTACACTTAAGATTGAACATGAGGACTTCCAGTTTTGAAGAAAGCTGTCGAGATTTTATGATCTGATAACAAGGCTGTAAGGCGTGACGCATCTGCAGGGCTCTGACCTTTGTTATGGATTTCAGAAATAAATTCAGGAAAGCATCCTTAGGGATTTAGGACCTCCAGCAAACAGCGGCATCGCTCGGCCTCTTGGGATTCATGATTTAAAAGACAGAGATGCTCAGAGGCTGTTAAACTATGAGTGACACATTCAGGAGTACGATGTCGTTTGGTAGAAAAGACTTGTTAACTGGGTGATCTTTAAAGTCAAGTTTAGGCTACATACTGTGATCAGAGTAATGCAAGGCTATAGAAAGGTTTTCCTAAATGAAATTTGGGAAATGTATTGAAAAACTATCCTGGTGAATTGTAGGCACACCTGTTTACAGCTGCCTTTAAAGGGATACTTCGCCCATTTGTATTAAGCTTTGTATCATTAGAAACCTGGTAGTATTTTTGAAGTCGTGCATCCCGCCCTCATTTTCCCCTGAGATGGGAAATCTTTGTATTTCTGGAGACGCCACATGGCTCGTTGTTCAAAAAGTTCTCTGAAGAACAGGCAGAGCTATGTTCTTGCGCATGTGGTGTGGATGTTAATGTAATTTAATTTACCACAAGTTAAAGTTTTTTTTCAAACGAGCATCTTAAAAATGAATAAAATCATTAAAGGCGACAGTTATCAATAACGTGCGTCCAGCTCTGAGTATGAACCAGCCAGGTCTTTAAACAAAAACTGCTTCAAAAGAACACAAGCATGTAGCTGGACACAAAGATTTTTTTATACAAAACCTTTAATACTGCTCCCACATCATAGTGCCTTACATGTATTCATCATCAACAAAGACATCTTTTTTAAGTTTAAGTGCAGATTCAGTGTTGCCCTTTGCCCATTTTTCAGTTCGAATGAAATAAAACATCACTGTGATTATAGTTCACTAAGTAGTCGCTTCACAAACACAGGTTATTCTGCTTTTCATCGTCCTATTGCTGCATGATGAGAGGCATGGAGGATGTTTTTGAAGACGTTTGAAAAAGGCTCTCTTCTTCTTCAGCCATGGATCTTAAACTGTGAAGTGAAAAGGTTTTTAATGTGCAGGCACAAACATTATGAAACCATAAAAGACCCTAGAATCCTTAATTTCCATTTAAGCTGAGTAAGAGTGGAAAGGTGTTCTCTGGAGAAAAAAAATGTGTTTCTCTCCACTGTGCTTTCTTACAGACAGATTGTAATTTGACAAATGGGCGTGCTGCCGTTCTTGTGTAATATCTCTCATCAAAGTCTTTCCGGCTGCACAAGTCACCATTTCCCCGACTTCAGCACATAAAGAAACGAGTGGTTAGAAAACAGGAAACCGCGTCACATTCTCCTGTCCTACTTTCAGAGGAGGTGGTAACACATTCTGATATAAAGACGTGGTCTGATTTCTGCTTTCATCAAGGTGCAATTATATCTGCGTTTAAAAGTGCTATGAGCCTCCTCTCTCCACCCGGTCATTAAAGTTTAATCATTGTGATTATAAGAAAAGTTTAGGGACGTTTTTCTTTCCCCTCACGTTCTCATATTGAACTGTCGTATTGCTGTCAAATATAACTCACTCAACTCACTTCAAACAAGAATATCAGCAGAGCCGAATCATTCTGTTAATAATCCACTGAAGTTTACACTAACGTTAACCGGTGTTATGCTTTAAAGAGCGCCTGTGTTAACTAGTGGCTTTCAGCCGATTGTGTCCATGGTTGTAGTTAAAGACGTACATGATTGATATTTTTGACATTACAATATAAAACTAAGTAACAAATCAAAATTTGTAAGAACACTTTCCATGTTCTGCATCTAACTATGACAACCATGGTCACTTTTTAAACCACAACACCGGTGTTTTCGAAAAAAAAAAAAAAAAATTTACAATGTCAATAGATTAAAGGCCATTCTGACTTAGAAAACTGTAAAGTACACATGTTTCTGTGTAGAAAATCTACAAATAACAGAAACCTTTTTCATGTACCTTAATGTAGGTCAGACAGCATTTCACAATAAAAGCGCCCGGGGCAGAGATGAGCATTGGGGCTCTTTATTGAAGAAGCTCTCCAAAGTACAGGTTGTCCTCGATCTATCTTACCATGTAAGAGTTAAAGTTAAAGGATTTGTTAATTGTTTATCAAATTAACCTCAAATTACTTTGAAAGATTAACGATTAACAGACATTTAATATATATAAAAAACAGTATATTCAAAGGGCTCTATTTTAATTATGTTATAATTAAAAAAAATATTGAAGTTGCTGCAGAAGATTAACACACAGATGTAGTTGCTGCAACACAATCCTTGGTGGGAAATGCTTCTAATTAAAGGCTGACAATTACAAGTTGTTTTAGTCACTGACAGGTTCAGATTGTTATTCCAAGTGTCTGACAAGAAAGGATCCCTACAGAGAGAGACCTTTTTATTAAAGAATAAGATCTTTTGTTAAACCAGAATTAGCTGTTACATCACTCTCTTTGAAGCTGACAGACACCTTTAACAGCCTGTCCTAACAGTACGCGAGCAAGTGTCAGCGACAAAATCAGCCTGATTCTATTTATTCCTATTTGAGTGTCCTAACTGCCCGCTAGCAGCGTGCTGTTTTTACTCCGACGCCCCATTTCTATATTCCTCTCTGACGCTCGCGTCAACGGACAGGCAACGAGGAAGGAGGGGGCTCTACAAGGCACTGAAGCTCGCTTTTCTCACTCAACAGAGCCTGGTAGCTCATCTTACAAAGGAGAGATGACGGTGCTTTGATAATATGTACAACCATGATTGAAATGTTGAGCTTTGACTAGTGTCAATACAAAGCACCAAACATCTGTTTGTCAACTTTCAGTCCAAAGCACTAGATGTTATTCTCTTTGCAAGGGGGGACACTGAAATTTACAGAGCATATAATTAAATATTTAACGCATGCAATGTGGACAGCGAGCGTCCGTTGCTGCGCGACAGAACGTGATATGTGACAGTCGCATGTTGTTAGGACACGATGTAGGGCTTATTTTGATTCTGATGTTCGCTCGCCTCGAATGCCTTTAGGACACGGTGTGGGGCTTATTTTGATTCTGATGTTCGCTCGCCTCGCGTGCTGTTAGGACACGATGTAGGGCTTATTTTGATTCTGATGTTCGCTCGCCTCGTGTGCTTTTAGGACACGGTGTGGGGCTTATTTTGATACTGACGTTCACTCGCCTCACGTGCTTTTAGGACACGGTGTGGGGCTTATTTTGATTCTGATGTTCGCTCGCCTCGCGTGCTTTTAGGACACAGTGTAGGGCTTATTTTGATACTGACACTCGCTCGCCTCACGTGCTGTTAGGACACAGTGTAGGGCTTATTTTGATACTGACACTCGCTCGCCTCACGTGCTGTTAGGACACAGTGTTAACAACAAAATCAGCTTGATTACATTGGTTCCTGGAGTGTCCTAACAGTTCATGAGCGATGCATCACGACAAGTGTTGGAGTTTGAGAGATTGAAACTTAACAGAGACACACCGTTCAGGCAGCAACAGGCCATGGACCAGTTGTTGTCTGACCTTTGGATTCAGCCAAGTCACAAGAGCCTGTTGAATTGTACCCTGATACCCTGTTTCTATATCCCTGCCTGTCCCTCAAGTAGACAAGGAACAAGACGCTGGGAGTGTCTGAAACAAAAATTTACTTGACGCTTTCCTCCTTCAACAGAGCTTGTTAGCTTGTTTTAAAAGTTAGAAAAGCGATGCATTGATAATATTCATATATAAATGTTGTGCTTTGACTTCTTTTACACAGGGGAAAACCTTTTTCAGCTTACCGATGTTAAATGCCTGTGAATACAAAGCACCACACTTCTGTTTCTTCATCTTCAAAATAAATGCACTAGATGCTAAACTGTTTGCAAATGGAAACTGAAAAAACACTGAGCAGAGAAGTCCATTTTTAACAAATGCAGTGTGGACAGTGAACACCCGATGCTGCACGGCATCTAATGCTCATGGCTGTAAGGACCAGCTCTTAGACCACATACTTCTGTGTTCTTCAAAATGAGTATCATTTTCTTATCAAGAAACACAATGATGTAAGGGCTTTTCTGGTGTCAGCAACGACATCTTCCTCTTTAACAAAAAGGTCTATCTCTGTAGGAATCCCTTTTTGTCGTCAGCCACTTAGAATACAAATCTGAGCCTGTCAGGGACAAAAACAACATTCAGGAGAATTACTTTGATTTTGAAATATGAAAAACATCTCCCAGTTTCAAAGATTCTGGAGTTCCCCTTAAAAGCAAACGTTCCTCCTATTTTCCTCCTCCTTTTGAAAACTGGATTTTTTGATCGATGGAAGACAGTAGATGGGTTTTTACAGTGTTTGACTTACAGCGGTTACTGCATTCATAAAGCGTGGAAGTGCATCATGGTTGGTCTAACAGGACTGAGGCTCCATTTGAGGCTGGACTGATTGTCTTTTAGGACACAGTATTTTGGAGAAAGCCCTTCGGAAGCTGCTGTGGCACAGCGGGTACAGGAAAGGGTTAATGGCCGAGTTGAGCCACAGGAGCCAGAATGTCATCTCGTACCAGTAGTTTTGCACACACTTACCGCTGCAGGCGGCACGGATAATCATCAGCAGAGTGTAAGGAGCCCAGCAAATCCCAAAAATACAGACAATGATGGCCAAAGATTTGGCGATTTTTTTGTCCCGTGTGAGGCGAGATCCCTGCGCCCTGCGTCCGGGCACCGTGCAGGAGGGTGAGTGCTCAAACAGTCTGGAGTCCTTTCTGTTGGGAGACAACTTCTCCCTCTGCATGAGAACCTGACTGTTAGTCGGGTCCGCGCTGTAAGATATCACATCCTCGTCCTCGATAACTGGAGATATGGCAGCTGGCTCACTGCACGAAACCTTCCGAGTCTTCACAAAAAACACAGACCAGCCGGCTCCGTCTTTGTGCTTCTTAGTGATCCTCTGCACCTTTAACTCGTCCCCGAGGCCGGCTCCTAAGTTTTTGTTCCTGCGATGGATGTTCAGGTAAATGCTGAGGTTGAAGAACGCCACCGACACAAACGGCGTGAAGAACTCAAAGGTAGAGGCGCAGAGCAGGAAGTACCAGGTAAAATAAAACTCGGCGTAGCACTCGTGAGCGGGGACGACGCTGTGGCCCCGGATCACTTCCCAGAAGATGATGGCGGGGCCGTAGAGAAGGAAGGCCAGCGCCCAGACGGCCACCATCTTGAACACAGCCTGGCGCGTCATGTTTCTCTGCGCTCTGTATTTAACCTGTTTTGAAAGAGGGACAGGAGAGTAGGGTTGAAATCTGAACGGTAAGCTCTGACAAACCAGTTAAAGTCAAACAATAGGAGCTCCAGAGATTCTAGCGGTTACGTTGCACGCCCAATGCATGGAGGCTATAGTCCTTGTCAAAGCCACCATAGGTGCCAACCTGACCTTGGCCCTTTGCTGCCTCTGATGTCTTCCATCATTTTCCCCTCCCAACATTTCCTGTCTGTCTTCGGCTGTCCAATCTAATAAAGCCAAAAAGACACAAACAAGTCCAACTACCTGTTTTGATACCATGGCAACAAAAGCACAAGTCCTAGGCGCCAGATTGCAGGCAAACCCCTGCACACAGTCTCAATAAGTTAGCAATGTTTCTGTAAAAATCTGTTTTTGGGCAATGATGGCCAAGGGGTTGAGTCAGTCCACATCAGAGGTTGCGCTAGACTTTCTTGTTGTCTGTCATTTTGACGACAGGATTGTAAAATTTCCGTCAAAATCTATGATGCTCCGTCATTTTAATTTCTTATATTTTTATGATAATGAGACATAGACTATTTATTTATCAACTATTTATTTAAGCAATTTATAAACAAGTCGATCACCGGTTACCTTTTAATTTGCGCAACAATTTTAGGGCGCACTCACACTAGCAAAGTTGTCCCATACTGTGCTTAAACACGATTATTTATTTTAATTATTTAATGCTTTATGATTCTCTCCATCATAATCCATTTGTCCCCAAACGGGTGAACAAGTTGTTCAGACGCATCTGAAATACTGACACACATCAGGATAACAACGTCTTCATTGAGCCTTTTACATCGTGCAATATCTAAACTATTCAACACAGCACTTTTATATATTCATATTTGTAAATATTTTTCATATATTCAATTCTCTGTGCCTGTGCATATATTATATAGAGCGCCACAGGAATGAGTCCTAAAACCCTGAAGTAAGTTAGCATTTGAGCGCCATGGGGTCTAACGTCTAAAAGTCAACGTGGATTTTGAATGTGTTTGTGGTTAGACACCTGAAATAAGGTCTGTGGTTAACACAAGCTGAAGAGATGTTGGTGTTTTGTCAGACCACATAAACTACGTTAGGTAATACCCCCACTTGTAAATTTTGTAGTTTTTACACGTCTTTAAAAAGGCGGTTGCTAACAAGTGGCTAAATGTGACTACAGTGTTTGTCGGGGACATTAAACGTCATCACGCCGGACACAGAGGTCAGGAACTCTCTCACTAGTCAGAGATGTCTCCTGTAGGTTTAATCTTTAGGTTAAGGTGAATATTATGTTAGTAAAATATTTATTAAACTACGTGGATTAGTTTATCGGAGATCGTCTGAAGCATAACGCTAGTGACATCACAATCATCCGACCGTGGTGTAGTTAGCTTTAGCATAACGTTAGCTTTTTACTTTACTGTCGGCTGCATTAACGCTTCAAACATCATAAAAATGGAGTTCATCTGTGAAGATTATCCTGCTGAACAAAACGCCTACGCTTCAGAAACGTGCGTTTGCCACAGAGCTTATTTTATTTTTAAAATCCAATGAAAACATCCCATAGGCGAATTCTGGTTAGACCCCATGGTGATGCTTCTTCAGGGTTGGCCTACAAAAATACGTCATATGGTTTGTTCTCTATTCTTCCGATACTATACTTGGATCTTATTGCTTGTACTAATATTTCTATTTTATTTTATATTCTGTATATATTTCTATATTTCCTATACTGCTATATTGTGTTTATGAGAAACTGTAACCACTGAATTTCCCACTGGGATTAAAACATTATTTCTGATTCTGAATACTTTATTGTCTCCCAGGGGGACATTTTTTCATCACAGCTTGTACAGTTGGTACAGTTGGTGCAAATACTTGAAAAAATCTTGAAGTAAAAAAATCTTCCAGCCTCACACGAGAGTGACCGCACCGGGGAACAGAATGTTGAGATTTTAAACTGCAGCAGCTGCTCACGTACCAACATTTCTGCTCTTTGTTCTAATGAAGCCTGTCTGTATAGTGCAGCCTGAGCAGCACAGAGATGCTGTTAATAAAACCCACTCATGAGGCCCTTATTTCTGTGTGCCACCAAAGCCAAAGAGAGAGAGAGAAAAAGAGAGAAAGAGAGAGAGAGACAGGGTAATATCAGGATGAGAGCCACATTCAGTGATGCAACACAAGAGTGTGAAAGAGACATCTGGTTTTCTCCCGATCCTTTTCCTCCCTCGTCCTCGCCCGGCGCTCATTCTTTTTTCTCTGGCTCCATTTTCACTTCAGTTCCTCTCAGTCTAAATTCATCTATCAAGGAAACACTGACACGCTTACCGTTTTTGTGATTTTTCATCTTTTCTTTTGCCTGAAACCATCAGATTATTTCTGCAGCAGCAGGAAGTCAAAAATGCTCCTAATGCGACTGCAGCTAAAGAGCAACTCCTCTGAGTCAATAAGTAATCAAATCGAGCCTCTTCATGATGCTAATAACTGATTTTGGCACAGCCTTGAGTGTTGTCGTGGGTAAAGCAAAAAGACTCAAACCCATTTCACTTTTAAATTAGACAAGTCCTGCTCCTCTGCGGAATGAAAATGTATAAATAAAATAATTTAATCTTCCGCAAAGCCTCTGAGATCAAGCTACCAGCCAAAAGCAAAGAGATGGTATCATGTGGCGTCTGAAAAATCTGGCACAATCAAAACAACACATGCAGCAACACTATAAAACTGATCCACATTGAAACATGTCAGCCAATCACACGGAGAGGAGAAGGTTGTCTGGGAGATCATTTAACCTCGGTTTAATCTAAGGGGGAAAGGTGGTTGAATTGATGAGTAATACATGGCCTTACAGACAGTCATTCAAAATAACTCACTGAAGGCTATATCACACTGATAGGAGTATGCAAAGGCAACAAATACACATGTTTTTGTCCGGCTCTTTTAAAGAGGACACCCAGCTCTTTTGTATTTCATTTTCATTTTCATAAAGTCTTTTATGTTGGCAAGAATGCACAAAAAATGTAAATCAGTGTGCATCTTTTTTCTCAGGTCTCCAGCTTGGACAATATGTTCCAAAAAACCTAGTACAAAAAAAAGGCTTTGTGTTCTCCGATTGGTGGGTGTGTCTGAGCTTTACCCAATCAGCAGCGACATGAAAAAAAAACAGTGTACCAAAAAGGCAGTGCACTTGCAGGGTGTGAAACACACAGACTTTAAGAAGATGGACGACATCTCAACATCTCGGCTCCCCATGAAAAAGTCTAATAAACATCCTGTTGGCTGGCTGCAGTATAGGTCATAAGCCCCGCCTCCTCCATGTTAACAAATTGGACATGGGTCAAACTATATTTTCTTAATCATGGTTTCTGTCATTATAGTTATTTCTCATCATACTGATTTATGTCCAAGTGTTAATTTTTCTGAGAAGCTTAGTTTTGATAATTTATCTGATGCTATAAAAAAGGGGTGTAACATGATGATTGACAGCTCTGATTTCAAACGAGGCAGTGCGACCCCGATGATCAGAGTAGAGGAGGAACAGTGTGAGGAAACGTAAGGAACACAAGAGTCATTGAATTTTTCATAACTGTGAGTGTCTGCTTTAAACCAACACAAGAATCTGTTCTGCTGTGGACGGTGCCCACCTGAGCGACCTTTGACCTTTCATCAGGAAATGTCATTTGTGTTTGTGAATGAGGCCCATTGTACTTATTCATACTGTAAACATGTAATCTAATATTTCCTGTGAATAACTCTAAGTGCAGGGAGATTTCTTAGTTTCTGATGATTGGTTGGTTAATTATCGCACTGAGACGATGTCAGACTGAAGAAAAGCAAAGTGAAACTACTTTGCATTTAGCTGACTACACAACAGACGATCTTAGCCCCACCAAATAATCCTCAAGTGTTTGGTGTCAATACGACTATTTAATTTCTCCGGAACAAGTCGGAACAAGTCGGAGCTTCCCCGAGGCGGTGAACATAAACACAACTGTGCCCCGAGCCAAGTGGAATATTGAAAAAGAGCAGCACAACAACGAGTTACTTGATAATGTCTCATGAAGACAGAGCCAGCTGACGACGTTCATCATCCTCTAGGTTTGTTTTTTTCTTCTAAAGTCACATTTGATCACGCAAAGTTTCTGTGAGACTGTGAGAATCTGAACTGTGAAATGCAAACGTCTAGTCTGTGTGTGTTAGGGGGATTATAATGTCAGAGACCAGATGAAACTGCCCTTATGTCTGTCATGTTTTTAAAATGTGTAGCCAGCCTGACGTTAGGAAATCCAAAGAGCAAAATGACAAAGCTGTTTGTGCCCCACGTGAAAGCAGAAATGAACAATGGTGAATTATTTTATAGCCTTTACTGTGATTTTTAAAAACCTAACCCAATACTTTGAGTTAACCAAAATAACTTGAATATGATTATCAAAATGTTTGAATCTTTTAGATGCCACATTTTTTTAACCGATACAATCTGTTTTGATTGATGGAGAGTTTAGAAAAGATTCGTAGTCATATTTTTAACACTACAAAGAGAGAGCACTGTCTAAATTAAACAAATACGATGGCAACTTTGTGATATGCAAGATATTCACCTGGATTTTTTTGGTAATGAAAGACAAGCACTTGCCCTGCCGAGGACTCCTCCCCTTTTTCCCGAGGAAAAACAGATATTGGCTTAGGTAGAAAATCAGTCCATCAAGTGAACTTCAAAAGGAGGGAGTAAAGTCAAGCTCTAACCTCCATCAGTTAAAGTCATTAAACTTTGACTTCTGGTCTCACATGGCTCTTGGACTCATTTTCCTTTGTTTAAATCCTGTGGATTTTGACCCATCCTAACCTTTAAGCCCCTCAACAGCTGACTGCTTGGCTGTGTGTTTCTATGTGACCTGACTTCTTAAAGGCTTTAGTGTTGAGGGTCAGAATCTGATTGATGCACATTAGTTCAAAATGTACAGCTGGACTCTAGATTACATCGATAATCTTCACAAAAACCTGTTGTGAGACTTTGTTGCGTTTTCAGGGATTTTGTCAGAAAACAGAAGATATTGCAAAAAATGTGTGAAATTATTGGGGTCCCCTTTAACTTTAGATTCTTTACAGTGTGTACAGACAGCACCTGATGTCGGTATTGAAAATCTTTATTGAGCAAATGAAGCAGACACTTGATGCTGTGTGTTCAGACTGACTTTATAGATCTAAACTGAATGTTTGTTAAATCAACACAAAGCTTTAAAAGTCAAATATCAGTACCTGTTTAGATAAAATAAGAATAAATATAGGAGTCCCCCAGCACCCACTATTTGGTTATCTTTTGTTTTAATGATCAAAGACAGAAGGAAACAGATAATACAACACAGCAATGATAATACGTAGGATTCATTAAAATCAGAAAAAGACTTGAGAAAAGTCAAAGTAAAGAAAGGTACATTTGCAAAGATAAAACATCACATGGTGCTAAAATGGTCATTTCCACAAAACGTGTCCGCAGAGGCCTGACTTATTGAGACCCAAACAAAAAGTGATCCTTCCCATAACATAAGCATTATTAACTATATCGATTTGTATCGAGGGGGGTTAAGGAAGAAACCAGCGCCAAGTAATGGCTTTTTTTTACAGGCAGAGATCAATATGCCAAACATGTATTAATCAGTGCCTCATCCTGAAAGTCTACATTTCTTAGAGATAATGTGATCACGTCAGGGGGCAGGTCCATGTAAAAAATGTTTCCAACATTAAGTATCTCCTCATGGTAAAAGGTGCTTTCTGCATGTGTTTCTTTATAACGTTTTACACTTCTAAACAGCTTTCTCTTGATATTTAAAGATGACTCTCTTACTCCCATTTCTCTTTCATATATTCTGTTGTGTGTCATTTATTTTTCATGAGAACCTTTAGTGGTTAGGAGATAAGGAATGCCCTTTTGAATCACTAAGGTAGGCACCTATAGAGAGTCTCAGAAGTAGATCCTCAAGCTCTCTTTTATTTCTTATATCAAGGTCAAAATAATTGCGCAGTGAAAATATCTGTAAAAATATCTGATTTCTCAAAAAAGCATATTTTCTCTTCAAGTTCTCAATCTTTAAGTCAACCTTTTTACTGTCAAAAAGATGACTGTTGTTATTCCTTGTGAGACATGATTTAAGATTGAATCGTTTTAAAAACATGTGGGACAGAAAAAGTATCAAGATGTAAAGAGACTCTGCAGTGTGTGTACTCACTGCTCTGGTGACTGACAGGAAGCGGTCATAGCTGATGAGGACGATGTTGAAGACTGAGGCGGTGCAGAGCAGGTAGTCCATGACCAGCCACACCTTGCAGAGACCCTTACCCAGCATCCAGCGGCCCGTCAGGTTGTACGGGATGTACACTGGGATGCAGAAAGCACCTGCAAAAACACACACACACACACACACACACACACACACACACACACATATACACACACACACACACACACACACACACACACACACACACACACACACACACACACACACACACACACACACACACACACACACACACACACACACACACACACACACACACACACACACACACACGCACGCACACGCACAAATAGACACTTATCAACCCCCCAATCAAATCAAATCCACACCTCTCTGAAGCATGAGTCAGAAAAGAACTGCATGTTTCCAACACAAAGAGATCTTAGGAGCAACCTGGACTCAGCTTTTGGAGAAGGTGTGTTTTGATTGATGAGAGCAGCACAATAGGAGGGCGATGTTCAATCATGTGAATGAATGAAGCAGCAGGAGGCTGAGGTCACAATAAACCCTCTCATGAACACAGCTGACTCACTGCAATTACATTAAAGGGATATTCTGCTGTGTTTGGGGCGTGGACAAAAAAAAAACCTTCAGTGGGTTTTCAGTCACAGGAGGGAACAAAAGACTTTGAATTCGGGGAGGGGGGAAAGGGGGGTATGAAGAAGCTCCAACTCACCCACGAGAAAATCAGATATGGCCAGGTTCAGGAAGAAGTAGTTACTCTGAGTCCTCAGCGTTTTATCCACAATAAAAGCCATGATGACCAGCGCGTTCCCAGCAACCACCACGACAACCAGAGTCACCATGAGGACCGACAGGATCACCAGCAGGTAGCCCGGGAGCACGGCCCCAGCCTCGGACACCGCGGGAGTCAGGTGACCACTGGAGTTGGACTCGGGGATATTCGCGCCCATCGTTAATTAAAATCCAGGATCATCGTAGAGCATCTCACGCGCACTGACAGCCAACATGTCCAGTTACGCGCCCGCGCGCTGCGCTCCACTTTACGCACGAGCCAGACATGACTGACAACCTGTGATGGAATAAGACTTTCCCAAAACCTTCCATTTTTCCCCGGATAGTTCTGTGATCAGGAAAGGCACGAATAGAAATGATTGATTTTGAATAAATGTCAGAGCTCGCGCTTCTCTCCGGTCAGCAGGTCCGTCATCAGCGCGTGCAGCGGGATGTGCGGGAGCAGAGGAGCGCACTGTTGCCTTTTGTGACTGTCAATAGTGCCATAGTAAAAATTATGTACCACTTCCGTACCACTTCCGTTATGTTTTCACAATAAACACCTCATTCCAACGATTGAAAAAAAAAAAAAGACAATGCAAATAGGGATCTTAAAATCTGCATTTGTAAGACATTTTACTTGTCAAAATTCAGTGTTTTTTCCAAAGTTTCCGATGATAGAACATAAAATTCAAGGCAATTAAGTAGCCTGGAGGAAAAACGAAATATTCATTTTTTAAGAGCATTTAGTATTTGCCAATTTTAACAACGAAAAATCTGAATAAAAACACAAAACACAGTAAAATAATTTCACTTCTACAGAAATGTGTGTCCAAATATTAAAAATGAGTGCAGGGAGATTTTAAATAAGTATTGTTTCTTCCTTTGAGCATCAAGAAGAAACATAGGCATGGAGTTGTTCATTATATTTCTTTCTAGATGTATAAGTCTTAAAAATTAAATATGAATACATTTTTTTTACCTTGGTCTCAGAATAAAAAAAAAAATCAACCCTCCCTTTTCTGTCTGTCTTCCTTTCCTTTACATGGCACTTACACTGAAGTACAAACAATATTTTAACTAGTCATCTTTGATCCCGAATCCCGTTGTTCATAAATCCTCCACCTGCCTTTTTCCCCCTTTGCCTGGTCTTACTGGGGCTGAGACAAAGAGGTAAAAACGCTTTTATTTTGGGAACTATTCATGTTCCGGTGTCACTGCAGGTGATCTCTGCGCACTTGACGTTTTCCTTCTTTGTCCGCCCAGTAACTGATCAAAGGCTGAAGTCTGCAATCAGGAGCTGAAGTGGAGCAGAGGCGGGAAGCGGACAGAGAGAAAGTGATCGGAGATGCAGACTGCAGGAGGTCTGAACACTTCAAATGTACACCAAACAACAAAAAGAATCAGGGTTAGAGTCCTGATGAGTCCACCTTAAGGCTGACCTCTCCTTTTACCCAATTGACACATTTTAATTTCACTTTTTATCAAGTAACCTCACAGAGTGCTCCCTGTGATCTCATCATTGAAATTAGGGTGAAATCACGTTGGTCTGTCTAAAGCCTTTTTAACACTAACTACAGAGGGGGCAGACATTTTCCCGCCAGAAACGCAATTAATTCTATGATTCTAAATTGATCCAGAACGTCCATATACTTGCTAAAAGCATGAGTACATTTTGACGTCATACTAAAGGCCGGTTACTGTACTGTCTTCGGGAACAGCAAGACATTCACCCAAATGAGTTTTCATTGACTTCAGTGTTAGAGCGCACAGTGGATTCTACAATCCCCCAGGTTAGAGGAAGCTTGACCCAACCCAGAAGTGGTCTGAAGGTTTACTTTTCAAACATTTCAGATATAAAAGCTGCATCATCTTGAACACATTTTTATTAAGCTTTGCGTTTTGGGTGCCTGAGAACAAAAAGTTCTGAAAACATATAGTGGAAACTTTTGCATACTTTCATACTTATTTTGTTCACCTTTTCTAACCATTGCTACTCATTCAAATGTGTTAAATAAATGATAGGTTATTTTAACAAGTTCTGCTCTCTGTGATGTTTATATATATATGTTTAGGGTCACTTGGAGTAACATTGTCCATCCACAGGAACGTCTCCTCACCGCTCTGGAGAAGGACGAGTGTGCACATGGGTTGTTGTTTCAATAGAAAGTTTCACCGCCAACTACTGGCCTGGTACGTGTACTACAGAGTATTTAGTCGTTTTTGCAGATCTGTGTTTACGACTATTATCAAAATGTTTTTGAAAACAAAAACTATTCCGTTTTCAAAGGATCGTTCTCATGTTAACATGGCCATGGACGTGCACTCAACGTCTTCAAATAACTAAGTGAAGAACCTTCCCTTATGAACCAGATTAAAAGTGTTTGCAACTGAAGATTGTGTCAAAGACTGACACTTATTAAAACTCAATTCTTACAATAAGAGAGATGTGAAAACATCAACATGGGCAGTCACAAACTGTGAAAAGTCAGTTTAATTATTGGATAAATTAAAGCTTGCGTTCTCTAAAGATCAGAGTTTGACCTCCTGATGCTGTACATTTGAAAAAGCCTGACCTTAGAGATTCCCATCATTTCAGAGGTTAGAGGCTCCATAATGCTGAATATAATATTTAACATTTAGCAGAAGACATGTTCCAACAATCCGACGTGATAGGACAAAAAGCTTCTCATTAAAACTTTAATAAGAAATGACAGAAAGCAGCTTCCTAAAAACAAACAACCCCTCAGGATCTATTTCAGCATGCCGAGCAGCAGCGTGGATCATGACACACATTATCACTAAAAAAAGGGAGATCTGCTCGGTTCTGTAACCTTTTGTTCCCGCTTTTCGGAGCCTGCAGCCCTCTCTTCAAAAAGGGCAGCGGCCCCCCTAGACCCTCACTCCCTGCTCCAAAAAAAACCACCTGCACAATCAGATGTGGCTGCTGCAGTGATTGCAACAGCATAGACCGAGACAACATATTTATTCAAGGCTGTCTAGACCTAAACATCTTCTACAAACAAAGACTTTTAAACTAAAATCCCTCCCCCCTATCTGATCAAATATGGCCAGAAGTGTCACATGTGTTCCAATATGTAAGACTGAATCAGAATGAGAAATACTTTATCAATCTCGGGGAGGAAATTTGGCCATTACAGTAGCTCTCAAGCACAATATAAAAACAGGAAATATAGAAATATAAATATAGAATGTAGAATAAAACTAAATGCTTTCTGTCCATCTTAAAACGTCATTTCTGTCGTCTTGTTACACTCACTTAGTTGTTCAAGAACATTGTAATGAATGTTATCCTGCATTATTTGACTTTTACTTTACAAATCACACTTCTGCCTCTCAGGAAACAAAGGCAGAGCACTCTCTCTGAACCCAAATGTTATTTGTTCTCAGAGTACCTATCTATGTTTTTGAGAAATGTAGTTATAGCAAATAAAAATCTGATTTTAACAAATATGATGCTGAGCTTTTCTAAAGATGATCATCTATACCGCTTTTCCTGTGCTGTGTTGAGGGGGTACTCCACTGGAGCTGATCCCAGCTGTCATTGGGCGAGAGCTGTGGTACACCCTGGAATAAGACAAGACAACCAGCCACACATATATATTCACACCTACAGACACGTGAGGGTCACCGATTGACCTAACAATGTGTCTGTGGACTGTGGGAAGAAGCTGGAGTTCCCCGGATGCACGGGGAGAAAATGCAAACTCTACACAAAGAGTTTATTCAAACGGGTCCATACTCTCTTAATTTAGGTTTTGATAGTTGGACTCTTAATAAAGGGAACCCATGAAAAGGAAGTGTTGTCTGTAAGTCCTTTATGATGGCTATAGTGGAAGCCCCAGAAGCTCCTACTGGCTGTGTTATCTTCTGAATATAAACGATACTTGAAGACGTCACTTAACCACCAAATATAGACGATGGAAAGTGAACATCTGGAGTGACATTTGGTCATATGTCAAGTTCCTAACATGTTCGATATCCAAACCGCTGTCTTTACACAACAATCAATATATCAGCATTCAGCCACTTCCTATGATGCTCCTTATCTAAGAGTGAATGTGTCTTTTGAGATTTTATCCTTTGATAGTGCTTGAGATTTCTTCATCCCTGCGTACTATCATTGTGTCTTCATTTTAAACCACAGTGTAATGTTATTTATAATAATGAGATCTGGCCACTTGTCCTTTTCACAAGGACAATCCAGGGTGAGTCATCATGACATTTTTACACTGTAAGAGGCTTTTATCAGAGCAGCCCAAACACACCAGTTTTATCATTAATATTGTCCTTAATCTGCACTCTACTGGTTTCTGACTTTATTTAGATGTTCATATTGGTTATTTGTGTTCCCTTTGTTTCTGTGAGCTTTTGACAGAATATCATAACTATTGCTGTTAAATATGATAATACGAGTCTTGTTATTTGGGCTGAATGCTTCTCACCAGGATTACATACAATTTTTGGATGCATTTTAATGAAACTGGCAGACGGTATAGCATCGGTGAATACACAGGAACCAGTAATCATTTATTCAGTTTGAACAAATAATTATTCAAACAATCGACTGTCAACTCATGTCTTTTATGTTCCAGCATTTAATATTAAAACAAGGACCTGTAAGCTTAACTGTGAAGGTCTGAAATGAATGCATTCATTTTTATATCCCATCATTTTGTCCCTTTTGATGCACCGTATTTAATCCACTGCAGCGTCTTCCTGATGGAAATAAACAGCGCCTTTGAATGGCTCAACTTTGCTTTAAAAAAACTCTAGTTCAGCTCAGATGACGAGTCAAAAGGAATATCCACCTTACAGCTCTGTGCATTGCGGTACTGCAATAGATTATATTACTCAGTTAATGACCAGTACACTACTTTTTACATTGCCTTGTGAGCTAAAGGTCCACTGAACATAATGTCTACAACACAAATGTCCTGTATAGTGCACTATAGTGGGTGATTTCTGACATGCCCATGACTGTTTACTGTTTTCACACTCGCAGAAATCTCCTGAAAAACTCCTGATATTTCCCGGTGGAGCTGTATATGTGAACGCAAACAGCCACATTTTTCGCTCGGACATCACCCTGAGTTTCTCGAGCCAGACTCCTTAGTGTTGTAACGCGAGTATGATAAATAACAAGGTTATTAGTTTTCGTTTGAGTATGGGTTTTCCTATTTTCTGGTGTGAACTTGAACGTCTCTCGTTTTACCCTTGATTGCAGCACATTGCTGTCTCGCTCACATTCTGTAAACAAACTCTTACCATTCAATATAAAGAGTGAAGATCTGGACATAATGTTGTCGACTGGTTCTTCTTAGGAGTAGAAGTTACCACACCTAGTATCTTTACAGCAGCGAGTCCCTCGCTGTGAGGAGCATATGTGAACAGCCAGGTCGGGAGAATCTTCGGAGAAGTCCTCCTGTAATTATCTAGATATTATCCGGAGTGCATGTGTGAAA